ACTCTAGGAAAGCTTGCATCCATTTAAGCCCCTGGTCAGATCACAATATTATCGCACTATCCATCACAATTATAGGATTAGCACCTACCCCCCTACTCCTGGAGACTTAACGACTCTATGCTCACGGATACTAACTCCCGCCAGGAGGTAGTTACTTCCATTCAGGAATACTTTCAGTCAACACACAACTCCCGATATCTCTCACGGCCACACTGTGGGTAGCCCATAAGGCGGTCCTGCTGGGCCGCCTTATTTCCATGGCTTCTTCTAGAAATAGAGAACGGTGGAAACAAATTCAGAAACTTACCCGAGAATTAGAAGCACATTATAGAGCTCATGTGGTAATCCATCTCTCCTTAACAAAAAAGTTGGTATCACAAAAGAGTTTTAGAACTGAATGCTTTGCTTTCCCAGAACACTGAAAAAGCTCTACGCTGGTCGAAGGCCTCTTTTTTATCACATAGTAACTCAGCGTCTACTATGTTTGCACAGAAATTAAACCATTCTATACGACCCCCACACATCTATAGGTTACGTACTAAATCCTGCAGTATCTCCTCTTTTCCTCATGAAATCCTGGTATTTTTGAAAATTTCTATTCCAACCTATTAGCTCCCCCGCAATCAACTTCCGTTTCCCCAAACTGTTCATGGCTAGATTTCTATACCCCTCTCTGCTCTCACACCCACATCAAGATATCCCTCTCTCAATGCCCCATGCACTTTGGAGGGAAAATAACCCGTGGCGATTAGCGCACTAAAAACTTCCACAGCACCGGGCCCTGATGGGTTTACTGCCAGTTACTATAAACATTTCGCCCCTACATTAGCTCCCTTTTTAATGTCTCTTTATTTAATGTTGTTTTGCAGGGAGGTTGGTTTCCCGAGGAGATACTCAGTTGGCTAACATGTCTCTATTACCCAAACCACTAAAAGACCATCATCTACCTCAAAATTATAGACCAATCTCAGTAATGAATAATGACTTGAAATTAAAAATATTCAGCTCCACATTCTGGCAGATAGGTTGGCCCCTATTATAACTCCTTTGGTCTCCCCGGACCAATCGGGATTTATCCCAGACAGACTTATCATGGATAAACATTTGTGTCTCACATTAAAATGTCATTCAGGATGTAAATCTGGCATTCTAAAGAAGCTTTTTTGCTGAGCCTTGGACATTAACAAGGCCTTTGATAGTGTCCTCTGGCCATTCTGTTTATTGCTGCAGAGGATGGGCTTTAGTGAGGGAGTTTTCTGTCTTGCATACATGCCTTGTACGACTCCCCCAAAACAAGAATAAGGCTTCCAGGCTGCAACTCTGATTTTTTTTACACTGGGCAGGGGGCACCTATCAGGGTTGTCCTCTTTCGCCCTTATTATTTGCGCTAGTATTGGAACCCTTGGCAATTGCAATAAGATCACATTCGGATATCTCTGGTTACCCATTATTGGTTTCACATTTCAAAATTTGCATGTATGCTGATGTTATGCTTTTCCTTACTAACTAAAACCGTTAATATCACTGCCTAATTTATGCACAGTACTGAATAACTTTGCTATAATGCAGGGGTGGCCAACCTGCGGCTCTCCAGCTGCTGCAGGACTACAAGTTCCATCATGCCTCTGCAAGTCAGTAACTTCCATCTTTGCAATGCCTCATGGGAAATGTAGTTTCCACAACAGCTGGAGAGCCACAGGTTAAGCCACCCCTGCTATAATGCAATCTCTCCATAATTCTTTTCCATTTCGTTGGGCCACAGTTCGGATTTCCTACTTGGGTATCAACCTTACTCCCAGATACTCAGAAATATTTGCTTCTAATTACTCACCATGGTGTGTCGCGCCTCTCTACTCTATTAAAGATCTGGCATGGTTACCCTCATTCTGGGCAGAGTCACGGCAGACAAAAATGAATATCTTGCCTAAATTACTTTATCTATTTAGAGCACTTCCAATCCCTGGCTCGAACATGTTCCTAGGTGATCAACGGATGATTAATAATTTTATCGGCATAACAAACATCCCCGCTTTACTTCATCAGTTCTATACCGGTTGCAACGGACGGGAGGCCTCGGTCGTCCCAATTTTTGGCTTTACTACTTGTTGGCCCGTTTCGCACAATTATCACAATGGGCGAACTATTACTTCCCAGATCCCGTGGATCAGATTTGAAATCTTAACCATTTCAATACCGGGCAATTTTACACCTTCCTTTCAGGTTTCAGCGCTCTCACACTTTGAATGACAATTGCGCGGTCATACACAATATAATTTCTTGAGGTCCAAGAATGTCAGAACAGTACAGATATCCCCCAAATGACCCCTTTTTGTAAAGCAGAAAGTCCGACGTACTTCATAAGAGGAATGGCGAGTTTTTCGAAGTTGTATTTTTTTTGTCATAATTTTTCGGAAAATGAAAAAATTATTTTCACTATTTTTTTTTTTTACATACTGTCACCAGTGCAGTACAGCATCATCATATAACTGGCATGGCAGTGAACAGGGGCACTGACTGGTGACAGTATGGAAAAAAAAAATATATTTTTTATTACATTTTTTTTTAAAGATTTTTTTTTCATATTTCACTATGACCAAAGTAGTACAATGTTACCATAGTAACATTGTACTACTTTGGGGAAGTGATCAGTATTATTTTTTTTACACAATTTGCTTATAGCAAAGAATTACTTTGCTATAAGCAAGCATTTACCTGAATGACATCGATTCATTCAGGTTTTTTTTTTTTTTTTTTGTGCTTAGCTGTGATTTGGCCACAGCTAATCACATGACATGTGCATGTGACCTGCTGTGACCATTCACAGCTAGACACTAGTATACAATGGATGGCATGAATGAAGCCATCCATTGTATACAAACTGTCATGTGACCTGCTGTGATTGGTCACAGCAGGTCACATGGTACCGGCAACAGGGGACGGTACTCAGATCTGTCATCGGCCGTGTCTGAGGTACACGGCCGGTGATAGATCGCGCCGCTGCACGGCTCTGCAACTGCGCGAACTGCGCATGTGCTGGAGGACGCCAAATGGCGTACACCCTGGAAAGCTAATGCATTTTTGCATTACGGCTATAGGCCGGGCGGCTAATGGTTAATCTATACGTCCGTTTTACTTATCAGGCATATTGTGGTCCAAAATTCCCCCCCCCCCCGCTCATTATGTATTTATAATTCCATTGTTGACCAATCATTGATGCTTTGGTCCCGATATAAATTTAAATTAAATCTGGTCTCCTCTGTCTCTCCAGGTGCATCATTTTTTGGTGTCCCGAATTTTATTACGACATTTTCCTCTCCACAGGCTTTCCGTTGGTGATACGATAGATCCTTTATCAGGTTATCTGACTTTCAAAGAGGAAGATCTTATATCACCTTTGGGATGCTACGTATACTTTTTGATATCCCGCTTTGGGAATATTATTGTTATCGACAAATTAGACATTTTTTTAATTCAAATTTTGACCTTATACCTTCATCTCCGATTTCGTTCTTCGAACGCATTACCAGTGACTCTCCCAGGGGTCTTAATTGTATCACCAATTCCTGGTTAGTTCCTTTCCCACACCCCCTCTATATAGACAAAAATGGGAAGCTGATAGTGGTATCACCTTTTCGGATGAAGATTGGGATTCCATAGTGGATAACATACGTAAGAGCTCTAGATCAGATCTTGCTCTGTCCGTGAGACAGCCCTCAAGGTATTAACCAGATCATATTATACCCCATCTAGACTACATGCCCTATATCCAGGGACGTCTCACCTATGCTTCCGGGGCTGAGGCTTTGCCGGTACTCTGGTGCATACATTCTGGGCTTGCCCAGTCCTCTCCTTGGTGTGGGCGCAAGATCTCTGAGGTAGCTTCTACACTGGTGGGTGCCCAGTGCATCTGCCTATGCAGTCCTGCCTATTGGGAGCTTGTATCCCGGGGCTCAGACTGAGGTTATGAGGCTAATTCATACCATTTGTATATCCACCCTATGGGCCACCGCCCTGCACTGGAAATCTATCACAGTAACATTGGCCTCTGTTCTACATAGAGTTGATGCTGTGATGCTCATGGAAAGAATTCATTATACTTTACTGGAAAAGATACACTTATTTGATAGAAAATGGGAAATTTGGAGAACTCATAGACATTTACTACATGACTGAGGACAATCCATATTTGGGTTGGTTGACTTACTCTGTTGGTAGATGTATAACTCTGCCTACCTCTTTATTTATATTGCTCATGTACTTAAACTCTACTCTCTCTTCTTTTTTCTTAATTTTTTCTTTACTCTACATGATTGTGCCTTTTTGAAATGTACACTTCAGTTGTGGCTTGTTACTGTTTTACACACCATTTGAAGCTGTAATGTCATTTTACAGTCTATTACTTGAAAAATAAAATCGTTTGTAAACAAAAGAAATTTACGTTTGGAGAAAAAAAACAACATTTTTGACTTTTTGCTATTAAACATGTCCAGTAAAAGAATTTAAAAAATCAAATTTGTTTATAAATTTAGGACAAAAATGTATTCTGCTACATGACTTTCCTTAACCACCAGCCTACAGGGCACTTATACCCCCTTCCCGCCCAGGCCAATTTCCAGCATTCAGTGCTGTCACACTTTGAATGACAATTGCGTGGTCATTCAACACTGTACCCATATTAAATTTTTATAATTTTTTTGAGACAGATAGAGCTTTCTTTTGGTGGTATTTAATCACCTCTGGGATTTTTATTTTTTCTTAAACAAACCAAAAACCATGGAAAATTTTGAAAAAAAACAAACGTTTTTTTCTTAGTTTCTGTTATACAATTTTGTAAATACGTGATTTTTCTCCTTCACTGATGTGCGCTAATGAGGTTGCAGTGATGGGCACTGATAGGCTGCACTGATGGACACTGATCGGTGGCACTGATGGGCATTGACAGGCATCACTGATGGGCACTGAAAGGCATATTTTGCACTGATGGGCATTTGACAGGCATCACTGATGGGCACTGCGCTGCTGATACATGGCACTGAAAGGCGGCACTGACTGGCACTGTTAGGCAGCACTGACTGGCACTGCAAGCGACACTGACTGGCAGCACTGATAGGTGGCACTGATTGGCATTGATAGGTGACATTGAAAGGCAGCTCAGATGGGCACTGATATGTGGCATTGATGTGCACTAGTATGCACTGATATGAGGCATTGATGTGGCACTGATGAGCACTGACAGGTGGCACTTCTGGGGCCACACTGATCATCAGTGCCTTGATGATCAGTGTACATGTCCCATCCGCGGAAAGCCGATTACCGGCTCTCCTCTCGAGCTGTCAGTGTGAAAGCTCGAGGAGAGAAATGCTGATAACCGGCATTTCCATGTTTACATGTGATCAGCTGTGATTGGACACAGCTGATCACATGACCGAGCCGACATCTTCGGCTTTTTCCCGTGATCCGCTGTGTCCGAGGGACACAGCGCACCGGCGATCACCGCACTGCGCGCTCCCTGAGCCACACATGTGCGGTGAGCATGGAAGGACGTCATATTACGTCCTATCAGAACGAGAGAACCACCTTGCGCCTGTCATTGTACTATATGGCGGGCGGAAGGTGGTTTAAAAAATCTCAATACGTGTAAATGAATTGGTTTATGTGAAGGTTATAGCGTTTACAAATGGCGGTATATATAGTGATTTTTTTTTTTAATTTTACTAGTAATGGCGGCGATTAGTGAATAATAACGGGACTGCAGCAGGCATTCTGACACTGGAGGGAACTGACTTGGTGTCACTGACATCCCCAGTGACACCAATACTGTGATCAGTGCTAAAAAACAGCACTGACACTGTACTAATGACATTGGGCAGAAAGGGGTTAATGTCAGGGGCAATCAAAGGGTTAACTTTGTGTAGGGAGTGTTTTTACTAGGGGGAGGAAGTGTGCTTCACTGCAAGCACACTGATCTGGATGGCTGTGCACAGCCATCCAAAGCAGTATGCATGAGCTGACCGGGAGAACTGTTTTGTTTACAAACAGTTCTCCCCATCGGAGATGCTTGTGAATCATCGGGTGCCGGCAAGTAATCACCAGCCGGGACCCGGACATTGACAGCCGCGGCTGGTGGCGCAGGTAGGGCAAAAATCACGTACAATACATGATTTGTGATTTTGCGCACACCCCTGCCGCCCTGTAGCAGTAAATCTGCTATAGGGCAGTTGAGAAGCGGTTAATAGCTCCTAAATACCTCCTATCCCACCATCTCTTCAATGGCAAAATATGGTCAAAAAAAAAAAAAAACGTTGAAGAATCATTGGCATACCATGCATTCAGTGAATTTTCGAAAGAGATGTCACTTTTGAGGTAAATTGCTAGGGGGTGGGGTTTAACAGCTTGTTATTAAATGAGGGATGGGGGATAAGCATTAGGGAGTAATTAGTGTTTGAGATGCTCTTCAACTTACTGACAACAGTAAAAAAATAGCAAAAACCCCCACCAAATACTAACATGGGTTCCCCACATTGAAAATAAATGTAATGTATTATTTATTTCTCTAAACATATTAATGAGATCTCTGTTAACACATTTTGAAAAGCATGGGTTAGGGAACATTTCCAGTTCTCCATCTACCTATGTCAGATTTATTCAAGTCTGCAAAAGGAATGTTCTAAACTGTAAATAGATAACTGAAAATAAAGGTGTGTACCGTTGCCTACAGTTATTACACAGGCACAATGACTTACCATTCAGGTCTGGTGACTTCTACATCAACAATTGTCCCAGGAGGTGGATTTTGTAGACTGCCACTCAAATTAGCAAAGAACCTGGTGTTAACTCTCTTCTTAACAACAATAACTGAAAGCTTGGGACTGTAAAACAATAGTATTTGAGTTAAAATTATGCTTATTATTGATATGTAAATACACACGCACATATACTGTATATTGTGTGCAAAGACCAGAGCAGGAACATAAAAGACAGAAACACACTGTACAAATGAAATTTCCAGTTATGCTAACATATACTGAAAGCAGAGAACTTTTGACCTGCGCATCAATGTCATATCTTTGAGTACACTGCAGGACAACTTATTTTTGCATAGATGGCAAGAGTAAATAGATACCAGTCCATCCAATTCAACCTGTGAGTGTTCATATTATTACCACTTTCCATCCCTGTACATTGCACTCGCTAAGAAACACTAAATGTTTTTTTGTTTTTTTTTAATTTATCTACATTCTCCACTGACACCAACTGTGGAAGAAAGTTTCAAATTTTTACCGCTCTAATGGTAAAGAAATCCTTATGCAGTTTAAGTCTAAACTTCTGCAATGTCAATGTGAGGCCACCTGTCTTCTTTAGAAACACTAAAGATCTGTATACTGCAATTGGCCAATCCAGTTCCAGCACATCCTTCCCAAGGATAGGTGACCAGGACTGGACAGAATACTCAAGATGAGTTTTGTAAACTAATAGAATTAATAGTTTTTATTTCTTGAGTAAAAACTCTTTATAATGAAGGCTAGTAATCTGCTAGCCTTGCTTGCTCTAGCTTGGTATTGCATGCTATTGCTTAGTCTGTGACCTACTAGATCATTTTCCATCCTCGGTTCCCCCAGAGGTTCTCCCCCTAGTGTGCAACTTGCATCTTTAGTTTTAGCTCCCAAGTACATCACCTTACGTGTTTCAATATTCACCCTTATCTACCATCTAGCTGCCCACTTCTCTATTTTATAGAGGTTTTCTTGTAAAATTGCTATGTCCTGTTGGGAAGATAATGGCCTGCTTAGCTTTGCATTCTTATACAGGAGGTATATTACTGACCAGATGAAAACAGAGGGGAAAAAAAGACTATAAAACAGAACCACCACATCTGATTGGTAAGGTGAAATATATTAAATTTTTGGGTTTAGGTTTCATACCACTTTAAGTTTTTCTAGTCTTTTTTTCAAACACGTTAGCCACAAGGGTACATTAAATATACTGTTATTAGCATTACTGTCCTGTCTATTATATCCCTCTTTTTCCTTTGTATAAACTGAGCAGAAGAATGGATGTGGATGATTTTGCTGTTGTGCCTCCTTGTTTGGGGGTGCTGGCTGGTCTTGAACCTGGGCATGTGGCCCCCTTCGATTTGGTCCCTGGCACGCTGGGGCTGCACCACCAGTCCGGTCCGGTGTTTGCAGCTCTGTGCAGCCATCTGGGATTCAGCGGTGTGCCTATGTACCCGCCTTTGTACCCGGAAGCCACGTATGCGTGACGTCATCCCGCAATGTAGGCGGGGCGACGTCGTGCACCAACGTTCCAGGGGGCAGTCCCCAGCGACATCCACATTGGGACAGTGTGGGTCTGGCGTTTAGGCGCCATCTTGGATAACAGGAGTGCCCCAGTGGATGTTTCCAATCACTGCTTTATTAAGATCCCTATATAATAGGAAGGTATTTCTCACCCCTTTGATAATCCCCGCCTCTATAAGCCGGTGCATACGGTTCTGAAACGTCGGAGGGTTTAAGGACCGTATGCACCGCATATACTGGGGAACATTATATTCACCTTTTGGTAAGCCTTCCTTCCTCTTTCCCCTTGGCAAAATTGTTTTCTTGGGCACTAAGGACCCTTTTTATATACAGTCATATGGACATATGTATTCATACATTGTTCATTGATTTTCTTAATGGCAGCATTACTAAAAGGGATAGATGGTCCAAGTGGGAATACCTGTCTTTGAAGTCCTATACCATATCCCCTAATCTATGAGGTAGAACGAGGAGAAGGTGTGGAAAGACCTGGATGTTTACACATTTAATGGTGGGTTTCTATTCTATGAGACCATTATGGTACCAGTGTATGACACATAATGCGTTCCTACTTATTTGCATAGCTATTTATTGCAGTGACCTGTGGTTTGTCCTTGTGATCCGTGCCTGGGGGGTTTCCATTACGTCCAGGTTCAGCTGGTCTTCTAACCATATGAGGTGGCAGCATTTTGAAGTACCATGTCTTTTAAATGGGTTCATGTATTGTAACTATATCTACAGATTGTAAATTGTAAAATATTGTAATGGATACAAGAAATGTTCCAAACAAATAAATGTTCAATCTTGTAGATAATGTCACCCATATGCAGAGTTCTTCCTCTATCCCTGAAGGAGTGAAGTCACTCCGAAACACGTTGGATCATACAGAAACTATCTCCGTAATCAAATGTATGGATGGTGATGTTACAACATTTTTAGATTTGAATATATTTTTATTATAAATAGTTTTTCTGTTATACTGTAGATCAGGAGTACAGAAAAAAGAAAGGGAGGGAACAAGTGAAATGTAAAATAAGACACTGAGGGACAGCAATGTCAAAAGGTCTGGTATATTCATATCAAAGATATCAGGATGTCACCAATTATAGACAAGAAGACGCATACAACTAAACCCCCCCCCCCCCCCCCAAAAAAACGTGTACATAATTTGGTTAACGGCTCCATCCAGTAGCACACTGGATGGAAAGGATGTCTGTTAGAAAGCATCTACTTATATGTGATCCCAGAGACCTATAAATAGACCAACAAAGTGAAAAAGAAGAATGTGATAAAGATAAGAAAGAGAAAAAAGTATAGTCATAAAGGAGAGAACTCCAATGAGTATAGTAAAAAAGAGATACATTGGGCATTGAAGAATGCAGGGGTATGTATTGGGGAGGAGGGGATTGGCATGAAATCTACTAATCTAGTTACACGGCCATAAGCTATAGAGAAGATAATATCCGGGAGGTGACTACAGCATCCTTCGCAAGGTTGCCGATTAGGAATATTGATTACAGACAATATAAATGTGAATTTTGTCCGTGAATCCATTTCGGTGGCCTGGATATCATTCCATTAACATAATATCGTTCAAGATATCTACCCAGAGAGATAAGGGAGGACAAGTGGTGGTCATCCAAAATCTGGAAAATGAGTTGGCGTGCTGAGGAGAGGAAGAATCTTAAAAGATTAGATATTTGCGATTTAATAGAACCTAGTAGTATAGATAATAATGCAATTTTGGGGGACGGAGTAATGAAGTCATCATAAATGTCAGAGTATATTTGGAAAATTTTTGTCCAAAATGGGCTAATGAGATCACAGTCCCACCACACATGTAAATATGTTCCCCTCTCTCTATGACAACGCCAGCAGACATCCGGGACAGAAGGGAAAATACGACTTATGGAGACCGGATCTCTGTACCATCTGGATAATACTTTATAATTTTTTTTCTTGTATATAATTTGATATAGAGGATTTATGAGTGAAAGTAAATGCCTTTGCCACTCTGCTGGGGAGATCTCTAAGCCCAGCTCATCTGCCCACACTCTAGAATAAGCAGACAGAGAGGTGTGCGTGGTGGCAAGTATCAGTTTGTATACCTTAGAAAAGACATGATCAGGTAATTCTGTAAGAAGGCACATACCCTGAAAATCCATCAGGGATCTATGTACATTTCCGGACAAATGAAGGGTT